GAGCTTGCCCATATGCACTCCAGCCTGGGTTGACAAAGAAGCAAACTCCACCTAAAAAAAAAACAAAAAAAGAAGAAAAAGAAGGGAGAAAACAGAAAATTCCCCCCGCCCTGCCCCCCCGGGGGTGGAGGTGTTTTGATGTATATGTATGTTGATGATTATTTATGTGTTTAACATTGAATGCTAGTTTGTGATAAGAGCAGTTTTTGAGGGAAGAGACTGATACATCCTATAAAGAAGGTCTCAAAGGTGGCATGCATAATGAGCGCTGTAAGTGCTCACCACTATTGGGATGGTACAGAAGGGAGATTGTGTGTGCGCCAACAGTGTTCGTAGATCAGGACTTAGGGCAAGGCAGGAGACCCATCTCTACAAAGTTTTCAAAATAGGGCCAAGTGGGGGCGCATGGGCTGAGGTCCCACTACAGAGGTGCTCTGTGGAGTCCCTAGAGTAGCTCTGTGGAGGTTGAAACAGGAGGATTGCTTGAGTCCAAAAGGAGGACAAAGGCTGCGTGGCTACGACTGCACAGGCACTCAGCCTTGGGTAACAGGAGGGAGAGCCCTGCTCAAAAAAAAAAAAAAAAAATTACTCAAAGGCTTGAGGAAGAACTAAAAAGGCATAGAAATCTGTATTATGCCCTACAGAGAGCAGCAAAATTTAAGAAGCGGATAAACTGTTGTGGCGAAATGTGGTGAAATGGACGCCTTCAGCCGTACTGGGTAAAGGAGTCAGACTGTGTATCGGCCTGGAGCACCCGACAAATCCACCGCGCAGGTCTTCACACATCTTGCCAAGGGATAGTTGTCAAGGATTGTCGTCCTTGTCGTTGTTATGGAGGGTCCTTGCATTTGAGATGCAGAAGCACAAGTTTGTTTCAGTATAATCACAGTTGTTCTTCTGAGCACTGTTAGTTCTCACCTATGGACATTGTCAGGCCTGTGGCCCAACTCTTTTTTACCCTGCCTGCTGGGAAGCACCGAGCTCACTGTGTGTTAGCTTCTGGCAGGAGACAGGGCCCTCGATGTGGTCTTGTCAGGGGACTAATACACGGTCAGCGTGGGTGCAGTGCTCAAGCCTGTATCCCAGGCAATTGGGAGGGAGGATAGGCAATCGGCTTGGGTAGGAGTTCAGGCCAGCCTGGCCAACATGGTGAAACCCTGTTCTACTAAAATACAAAAAATTACGTGTGTGGTGGCGCACGACCTGTCATCCAGCTCTTTGGAAGGCTGAAGGGCAGAGATCGCTTGAGACCCGTGAGCAGAGGGTAGAGTGAGCAAGATACAGCACTGTACTCTAGTGGCAACATAGTAAACCCTGTCTCAAAAAAAAAAAAAACCACAGTCGTTGCATCTACCTTCCCTGCCTTGCCGATACTTCCCTTCTCCATTTCTCCCTGTGCAGACACCTGTCCTGTCCAGAGGCTGGGGCATCCTTCCCCTCCAAAGCCATGTTCTGGTGGGTTTCTGGGTAAGTAAAGTCACAGGGAAAGGTTGGGGTGGTACCTCACCCACCTGCATTTGCTGCTCTGATTCCCACCCATGGCCCTTCCTCTATGCTTACAAAGGCCAGCAAGACTTTCTCCATCCCAGCCTCAGTGCTTTCTTCTTCGTGTTCAGTGTTCACCATCTGCATCCTGTTCCCATTCACTGACTGGAGTGAGATCTGGATTTGAATCCCAGCTCTGCCTTTCAGCAGGCCATATCACAAACCCCCGGAGCCTCAGTTTTCCCCTCTGTAAAACGGGGATGACTCAACCTTCATGAGACAGACAATGCTTAGTGCTTGCACACAGCAGGTGCTTAATAGTAATAGAATTGTCTCCAATACTTGACTTCAGTCATTCCACCAACATTTAATAAGCACCTACTATGTGCTAAGCCCCAGGGGTGAGGAGATAAAGGAGCAAGTGTCTACTTTCTGGAGGGTTCCAGGTAGATAGAGAAAACAGCTGCTTCTCCTGGGCCAGCTCACCAGGCACTTGAGGATGTGCTCCCTCCTGACCACACTGCGTTCAGACCTCAGTAGCACCTGACACGTGGATTTGAATCCTGGCCCTAACACTTCCTAGCTGTGTAGCTTTGGACAAGTTACTTAACCTCTCTGTGCCTCAGTCTCCACTCCTTCAAAATGGGATTAATAATAGCACCTACCTCATAGGGTTGTGAAGCTTAAATAAGATAAGATCCGTAAAGGAGAAAACAGAAAATTACCCCTGGGGTGAGTGCTCTGTAGGAGAAGTTCATGAGAGATTTACAATAGGTAACATTGAAGCAGTTTGTGAAACTAAGAAACAATTCTTTTGAGGAAGAGACTGATCTGACATCCTATAAATAGAGGTTCAAATGGGCTGGATGCAGTAGATCACGCCTGTAATCTCAACACTTTGGGATGCTGAGGAAGGACGATTGTTTGTGCCCACGTGTTCTAGATCAGACTAGGCAATGCAGTGAGACCCCATCTCTACAAAAAGTTTTCAAAAAATAGCCAAGTGTGGTGGCACATGGCTGTAGTCCCACTACAGAGTAGCTCTGTGGAGTCCCATAGAGTAGCTCTGTGGAGGCTGAAACAGGAGGATTGCTTGAGTCCAAGAGACAAAGGCTGCAGTGAGCTACGACTGCACCACTGCACTCCAGCCTGGGTAACAGAGGGAGACCCTGTCTCAAAAAAAAAAAAAAACTCCATCTCCCTGGTTGCAGAACGCGCATGTCCAGAGCTGGGCGATCCTACCCACTCCAAAGCCATGGTTCTGGTGGGTTTCCTGGGTAACGTAAAGTCCAGGGAAAGGTTGGGGTGGTACCTCACCCACCTGCATTTGCTGCTCTGATTCCCACCAATGGCCCTTCCTCTATGCATTACAAGGCCAGCAAGACTTTCTCCATCCCCAGCCTCAAGTGGCTTTCCTTCTTCGTGTTCAGTGTTTCAGCCATCTGCATCCTGGTTCCATTCACTGACTGGAGTGAAGATCTGGATTTGATCCCAACTCTGCCTTTCAGCAGGCCATAATCACAAACCCGCGGAGCCTCAGTTTTCCCCTCTGTAAAAACGGGGATGACTCCAACCTTCATGAGACAACAATGCTTAGTGCTTGCACACAAGCAGGTGCTTAATAAGTAATAGAATTGTCTCCAATACTTGACTCTCAGTCATTCCACCAACACATTTAATAAGCACCGTACTATGTGCTAAGCCCAGGGTGAGGAAGATAAAGGGACAAGTTCTACTTTTGTGAAGGGTTCCAGGTAGATAGAGAAAACAGCTGCCTTCTCCTGGGCCAGCTCACCAGGCACCTTGAGATGTGCTCCCTCACCTGAACCACACTGCGTTTCAGACCTCAGTACACCCTGACACGTGGATTTGAATCCTGGCCCTAAACACTTCCTAGCTGTGTACCTTTGACAAGTTACTTAACCTCTCTGTGCCTCAGTCCTCCACTCCTTCCAAAATGGGATAATAAATAGCACCTACCTCAATAGGGTTGTGAAGCTTAAATAAGATAAGATCCGTAACACTTAGAACAGGCCCCGGACATAATGAAAGTGTAAGTGGTACTTTTTTTTTTTTGAGGTGGAGTTCTGCTCTTGCTTGCCCAGGCTGAGTACAATGGCACGATCTTGGCCCACTGCACCTCCACCTCCCCGGGTTCAAGCCATTTCTCGCGCCAGCCTCCCGAGTAGCTGAGATTCAGGCCATGCACCCCACTATGCTCGACTAAATTTGTATTTTTATTAGAGACAGTGTTCTCCACGTTGGTCAGCTGAATCTCAAACTCTCGACCTCAGGTGATCCACCCGGCCTTGGCCCTCCCAAAGTGCTGGGATTACAGGCAATGAGCCCACTGTGCTGGGCTATTTTTTTTTTTTTTTTTTTGAGACAGAGTTTCACTCTTGTTGCCCAGGCTGCAGTGCAACGGCACGATCTCAGCTCACTGCAACCCACCTCCATCCAG